AAACAACTCAGAGTTGATTAAACCAACTCTTTTCAGCTGTTCTGAAACCGAAAACTCAGAGTTTTCCAACTCTGGGTAAGTCAACTCAGAGTTCAGGTTTGAACTCTGAGTTTGTTAAACCGCCTTCTTGAAATAGGCCCCTGTTAGTTTCTAATACGTAAACAGACTATTTACTCTACTTGAATCTCTTGTGCTGAATCAGGCTCCTGGTGTAACTGTGAGTATTAGGCTACTAATTTTATCCCAGAAATGAGCTGGCACTTGGCCCGACAAGTGGGAAAGCTGAACTGTGCATGAAGTCCAACATAGACATCGCCAAAAGCAAAAATTCTTCTTCAGAAGAAAAAAAACGGAAATAAATAAATCACGTAGAGAAATGATAAATGCTGTATAAAATAATACAGACTCTTTTGCATTATGCTGTAGAACAAAGGTGGTGCTGCCAAATCAAGCGCTGGTGGCACCACACTATAGTTGTAAAAATCAAGACACAGAAATACTAAATTGTACTTCACGTTGGTTTATTAACAGTGAGCCCACCTGTTCCATTACTGTTCCTCAGAGAAAACGCCATAGCTAGGATGACCACCAGTAAACACAGCAGCAGAACCTGGAATCCAGAGAGCACAGGTCAGGAAGTTACTGAGGATGACAGCAGTCAACAAACATTCAAAAAACACAACTGAAGATGTTTAAACTGAACTCTTGGCTTGGTGAGACACTTCCCGAGTCAAAGACTCTTAAATTGTGATCTACAATGTTTTTGTCCACCGTTAATTTTACAGGACCTACTTTTGTTACAAATAACAGACCACCATTTTTCCAGATATGGCAACTAATCATTGCAAGTAGAATCTGAACAAACACAACAATCGATTTTCATAATATAATCATTAGAATGATGATAATGTTCCTGGCCAGTTTTATTGGCACTCCAGACACTAGTTCAGGCTACATGCCTCTGGAACCATAATACTGTATAAACATACTGTAGCACCATGAGAGAAGCCTTAGATCAGAACTTAATGCATTCAATCAAAAGAACAAAACAAGTTTATGTAAATACATCACAGAAAGACTGGACCACCAGTTTTGTATTGAAATATCTAAATAATTACATGATAACTGTCATGATATTTTTGTGGACATGAAACACAAACTCCCCAAATGATGAATTCTAAAGACTTTGGGTATCCCCTTACTTTTTCCTCTAGTAATTCCATTAATTTTCCATTATTAGTTTTTATTTAAATATCTTAACAGCTACTGGATGGACTTCCATGAGATTTGGAACAGATAAATCCTTTCCTGATCCCGTTACTTTCTTCTCTAGCACCACCACTAGGTTAAAGCTTTCCCATAACTGAGTGAAATTTTTCAATATCCTCAGGATGTATGGGCTCAAAGTTTTGTACAAACACTCGTGGTCCTTAGAATATTACTCTTCAGCTTTGTTGATCCTCTGAATTTTGGGTCACGCCACCATGAGGTTGACATTTGTGATTTTGAGGCAAAGGTCGGGTTTGCTATTCATGGACCCCTCCCGTAACATTGTTTATTCAATCACTCCGTCTTTAGCCAAGATGAGGTCAAAGCCTTGCATGACAGTTGAGCAAAATGAGCGCGTTATTTGTTCTTTTCACTTCACATAGAGACTCTAATCATTTCCACATTTCTTCATGTGTCATTTCCAACTGTCCACATGTTGCTCCTGGCCCTCTGTAACTGAAAAGGCAAAGGAGGACAGATCTGTTTTTCTATCTGGTGCTCAGCCCAGATGTGCCCAGAGACAAATGCTCACTGGGGGTGAGAGGTTTTTAAGAGCCATTTCAAAGCAAAAGACATCATATTTAGAGATGGGGGCATTGTACAATAGGTGCAGCCTTATCACTGCCAAAGCAGTCATGCGGGGGTTATCATGGTTTGCATAATTATCTTAGAGTTCAGTGGAAATGATGCAAAGTGTGCTGCCAGTTTCAAATGTTCTCTAATCCTTTATGTTTTAGCTGTTACAGGAATCTCATTTCCTCACACGTCACAAAATTTTCATCTTATCTCACTGTTAATAAGTCACCTTGTTTATCTCTTCTTTCCTTAGTTTATTAAATATACCTAACAAAGCCAATTCAACAATCCTGTAATAGCCTTCGGAATGAGGTGATGATTCAACTATATGGTCATTTGGAGGCTGTAGTTTGTTCCCGTTTACCTCGGTGAGTGTAGGCTAAGCTGCTTAATGCAACACAATCTACATCTTCCAAAATGATGAGCTGACTCAACACCTCTCTAACACAGTGTCAATAAAACCTGAACATTATCACCTTCATGAAGCTTTATTGCTTGACTTGTCTAACAAACTTACAATGAGTGTGTATTAAGTGTAAATGTGAAATGAGGAAATATAACTCGTCATTTTCTATACAAGTTAATTTATCACTTATCTTCAAAATAAATGTGAATAATGAAGATACATTCAGCAGAAACTCACTGGTAATGCAGGAGAAAAGGCACATGATAAGGAACAAGTCAAGTTGTGAGTAATGTTTTTCTTGTTCCAAGAAAAAAAATAACCACCGACTCAGCACTGCCTTAGATACTTTCATGCAGGAGTCATTCATGCCTTTAAGACTCAACTGTACACTCCTACAGCTCAACGGCAGGGCTGTGGGAATCATCAACCACACGTAATCCATTTAGTCTGATTCACATTCACAAGCCTTGAAACTCACAAGGCGTATGAATATATGCTCCCCTTATTTTCACCAGCTACGGGTGAGGACGGAGAGAGAGAGAGAGAGAGAGAGAGAGAGGGAGGGAGGTGGCTCCTTGAAAAAGCTTTTAGTCCTGGTTTAGGTGGGCTGTGAAAGTAAACAGTCTGCCTGGTGGAAACCTACTTGTCTGTCACTGAAACAGGCTCTGCTGCTTGTCTACACAGTAAAGGTCTGATTAGACTGTTGCGATTCAAAGGGACTCAAACAAAACAGCACAAAAGGCCTTAAATATCCCTGCAGTAGAACTAGTAACAATATTAAAATTACTAGCAGATGCACGAGGCTGATACATGACAGGACCAAGCAGAAAGTAGTCTAGACTTTACCACATGTTTCTAATCAGTGCCAAGCAGACACCAGCTTAAAACACTGTGGTTTTAGCTGGAGTTTCTTAGTAAATAGTTTGAAAGGTGTGCTATAATTGTCCTGTACAGTTTCAGTGATGAGGCAGATTCTATATACATCTCATAACTTGCCATTTGTTTTCACTACTTTATTGGAAAAAAAAAAACATATTTTTCAGATATAGGCCTGACCGCAACTACATAAAAACATATAATCACATTTTTCTTTGCAAATCTTTCAATTATGGTTTTCGTCTTTATGTGAATCCCCAGATGTCTCCCAGATTTAACATCCATGCAGAATGTGTGCTTAGTCTCAATGCCTCCAGGAACTGGGAGTAATAAAAGCTGCTGTTGTTTCTGAGACTTACCTTTTGTGACAAGAATAAAATTCTCAGGGAATCTGGTCATTAAAATGTCCAAATTGATTCTCATGCAGATAATAAGACAACTAGAAGTAGAAGGTGAAAGATGCTGGGTTTGTTGTTTGGCCCTAAAACAACACAGGATATTGACTTTTAGCAGATTTCAGTCCAAAAGCAGCAGAATTTGCCTCTAATCCTCCATTTTCACTGTGGTGCGCAGTACAGTCCCATGTGTACAATGCCAAGTGCCAAAAACAACAAGTTGAACAAGTTAAAAGTGAACCATTACTGCAACTCATTAATCAAAAACATGCCAAATATTTGTTGGTTCCAAGTTCTTATTGTATGAATTGTCCCCATTGTTTGCTGACATTTCATAAGATGAGAAAATAACTGCCAGATTAATTGCGAACTAACTTTATACACAACTTTAAATAAAACTTCTGCTGACATTATCAGATATAAATAACCACCCAAACACTCTACAACCACCTGTGTCCCTCCCCCTGTGAACCCTCAAACATCTGGAATAATGTAAAATAATGATGTGGCTTAAACGTAGAGATCATCTCCACTTGTAGAGACACTCCTGGCCTCTGCCTTTTTGCACTGGAGTGAAAACATTTAGTTTCCACGTTCACAGCAGCAGCTCTGACAGTCTGGGCTGTGAGACAGAGTGGATTTACACCCAGTGTAAACACTGCAGACTGTGGTTTCTGATTAAAGCCACACGTGTTGCAACTAATGTTTTTGTTAATTATCAATTAATTTGCAGATTGCATAGTTGAATTCCAAACAAACAATCTGTGAAAAGTCTAAGTTCTACAATGGGGCATTATACATACATGCACAAGCACAGCAAGAGCCAGTTTGTTTAGACACTTTACCACATAAATCAGCTGTAATATTTTACTGTATGACTGTAACACCATGCAACCTACTGCTCATACTGCTGCGTTACATAGACAGGTAGTGAAATAGGTTCTGGTGCCATTGAACTTACCCCGGTTATGATTTTACACTTGTTCCCCCTCTTCTTTCCCCGTGCAGTGTTTGTCCTTTGACTTTCCATGTCTTGGGTCTCAAATAACGATGCAGCCTGTTCAAGCGTCTCTCCTTTATTCGTTACTTCCATGATGCTGCGCTCAACCAACTCCTGCCGGTGTTTCTTCCAAGAGGGCCTGAGTACTGAAAGCTTGCACGTAGTAATATGAGGAATACATTCCGTATATGACCTTGTGCTGATTTGTAGCACCGCCTCGTTTACTGGCGTCTCCAAATTTGCACAGCAGCAGCATAACATTCATCTGGAAGGGTTGGCGGCTGCGGGGCTGATTCCAGAAAGACCTCAACAATCTGCTGTTCTGGCTCTAATGTCATTTTCCACCAATAGACCTGTAAAAACGATCTTAGTTCTAATATAAAACGTACAAAAACTCATTGCTCAGTGGTGTTTTTCACGCCTAAATGCTGAGCTGCAAGAGCAAACAGCTGTTCGGGAACTTAAATGAAATACCCCAAGTGGACTGGGTGCTACTGCCACCTTGTGGTTAGACTGGAGTGGTGCTGAATATTAGAGACAGTAATCAGCAAGAGGCCGGTTCTGAAGGTTTCTTCTGGTAAACCCTTCTCCACTGTTGCCCAGTGCTCACCCAAGGAAGATGTGTCGGGGTTTTTCTCTGTAATATACAATATTATCAACATTTTTAAGTAATTGGAGAATTGATGTGTTTTGCGGCTTTGTGAGTTACAAATGAGATTTACTTTTTAAATTTGTGATTTGTTGATAGACAAACGTACAGAAGAGTATTAGGGCGACTTTACAAATTAGTTATTGTGAAATGCAGAAGAATCCAAAGAAATTTGCAATACAGGGCCAGATGTTTACACCATAAAAACATGTTGATAATGTTGAAATATTTTCATAAAGATGAATATCTCAATTGGCAACTTTAAATTGCCAGTAGGAGTGAGTGGGAGTGAGTGTGTGGTTGTTTGTCTACATGTCAGCCCTGTGACACACTGGCGACCTCTGCATGGTGGACCTCTCATCCAATGTCAGCGGGGATTGACTCCAGCCCCCCACAGCCCTGTTCAGGGGTAAGCAGTATAGATAATGGATGGATGAATTAATATCTCTACATTTTTACCTTGACCGACAGATGCTGTAGTAGCAGCAGGCAGTGGAATAGTGGGCTAAGCAATAAACATTCAAGAAGAAAATTGTGTGGTTTGAGTTATGAGGGTCCTGTGCCCCAGTAAAACTTTGTCTAGCAATGCCCCTGCACTGAGAACAGCTCTCACCTAAGAGACATTTCAGTTCAAACCCTGTCTGAAAGTCACCTAAAACTGATACCTTATTAAAAGTTCTTGCTGTAGATACAGTACATACTTGTCGTATTGTGTCCTGCTGTTGTTAAAGTTTTCACTAGGTGGTGATGTTGTAATACTTTTACAGTTACAATAAAACATGTTCCCTGTAGTGGAGATGCTTCCCTGTCCCTTAAAGAACTTGTATTACTATAATATACTGCTTCTCATGCCAGACGGCTTCGACGTGGGCATATTTTAGCTCTGTGAGGTCCATGTTTCCTTCAGATCCAGCTGTGTCCCACACAGTGGTAATGAAGTCCTGACCTCTGTCTCGCTCATAAACAGCCCAGGGTTAGCTCTTCTCACTGCCTGTTGGTATTTGTCTTCCATGTGTGGGTTTGCATTTCTGTGTATATATTGTACTGTCTGTGTTTATGTGCGCACCATGTATGTGCTCCAGAATATGTAAGCAAACCTGATACTGTGTTGTCATTTTAAGCTGTGGGTGTTCTTACGTGTCTGTGCTGGTGTGTTTTGGTATCTGGTTGTGGTTATAGGGAGTGTGTGGGACACTGTGTGTGTGAGTGGGCGTCCCGCTCAGTAAACTGCATGTTTCTCAGCACTCTCTCTACACAGCTGTCACCGACCCAGCTGGATATTACAATTTAACCTTTAATGTTGACATGTAGCACTTACTGGCCTCATGGTCCTTCCTGTGTCTTTTAGTCTTTCTCAAGTAACATTGTTCATTGAGTACAGTGCTGCTCCATCCATCCATTTTCCTCCGCTTATCCGGGACCGGGTCGCGGGGGCAGCAGTCTAAGCAAAGATGCCCAGACTTCCCTCTCTCCAGACACTTCCTCCAGCACCAGCGTGTCCTGGGTCTTCCCCGGGGCCTCCTCCCGGTGGGACATGCCCGGAACACCTCACTAGGAAGGCGCCCAGGAGGCATCCAAAACAGATGCCTGAGCCACCTCAGCTGGCTCCTCTCAATGTGGAGGAGCAGCGGTTCTACTCTGAGCTCCTCCCGGGTGACCAAGCTCCTCACCCTATCTCTAAGGGTGCGCCCGGCCACCCTGCGGAGAAAGCTCATTTCGGCCGCCTGTATCCGGGATCTTGCCTTTTTGGTCATGACCCAAAGTTCATGACCATAGGTGAGAGTCGGAACGTAGATTGACCAGTAAATCGAGAGCTTCGCCTTA